GCTGTAGCCGAAAATATAGATATCAACTTACGGGGTAACCTTCTGGCCAGGGAAGCCTGTCGAGTTAAATAGAGCGAGGGCAATCAATCTCTCGTGTGTACAATATTATTATTCCATTTGATATGGAATTTTCGCTAATATTAAGAATATATCGAAGAAAAGGTGGGAAATTACTTTCATTTTAGCTTTACTGATATAAATCATATCAAAGAAATAGTGGGCCGTTAAAAACATATTTCCAACTAATTTTTATGACTAGTTTTGCTCTAAAATTTTCTGAAGGACGAAAGTTCTCTTATCTATTGTATGAACATTTTCTTTTCTCTCGTAGATACGAACATTCTCTTATAGTTATATATTTTTGGTTTTAACCATTTTATTTAAATTTGCTTTTAATAAGCAATACCTAATACTTTATTAGGTAACATATTTCCTGAAAGTGAAAAACTAACGACCGGCGCATCAAGCTAAACTAGGTGGCATTTTAGGTAATACCACAGAATAATAATAAGTACTACGTACAGAAGTTTTACTTCGCGAAGGTATTTAAAAAAATGTATGCTCAATATCAATAACAATATGGTGTAATTCAGCCTGACTCAAGAGTCAAGCACCATTTTGTTGACAAACGTCAGTGATCGGCATGCGCCGAAGCTATAGGGCTGACTTCGGTAAAATGATGTGACGTGAGGTGCCAAACTGCGGAAAATGGCGGAGGAAATACATGATTTAGCATGAATTATCATGAATAATATTAACTACTTATTTACCTCTCAGTGTCTTGAGGCAACTTAAAAAAGTACATACTACGTTTTTATTGTTATTTAGGCAGTTAAATACTGCACAGTATTTAGTACACCATTATCTTTATTTTCTTCCATCATACACAAGAATACGCGTGCGTGAGTCAATGTTCGCTCGTATGTGAGGCCTTGTCGAATAGTATCCTGTAGGTGGGCCATCGTGCGTGTTTTGTTTTCGATGTAAACTCGCGGAGATGAACAGGCCTGGTAATACATACTTGTCTGATGCTTTGACTTGGCAACATTTTAGTTGATGAAGATAAACATGTTTAAAATGGTACTTAACTGTAAGGAAATAAGACACATTTTTTGTTCTTCGCCAACCCTTTTCCCTACTACTGTGAACAGAAATTCCGGTGTCTAGGTCAAATTTTTCCCGGTGGATATTGTATTTCGTTTCGTAGATCCTTAATGCTCTTTTAATGAACACCGTCATGCTTTAATTACAAATTAGCGCCCAGCATTCTGAAACAATTTACTCAAACACTAAATTTGGAGCAAAATTTATCTTCAAATTCCACTATAGTAATAATTAAAGAGTGCCGGCATTAGGTCAGCAATTAATATCAAAATGAGTTGAGTTAGGTTCAGCGGGGCATGCGGCGGATCTATTAATTTGGCCGTAAAGTGCTCAGACGCGCCATTATTCCCCACTAATTAAATTCTATGATGTTCGCCAATCTAAGACAGACGACTTTTACGATACTCGAATTACGGTTTCATTGACCGTAAAAAGATTCAAGAGCTTATTACTGCGAGACGATGAAAAGTGCATGTAATTGAGTGAAATTCGTAGTAAGTAGGATAAAACGACTCGGGTGACCGTTAATTTTGTTAATGGATACTAAAGAAGTTTAGATTTTATTTTCGGATTATAGTATTAAAGCTATGGGGTACCGGCAAGCTTTAAACAATTCTATGAATGTATAAAACGGAATGTTAATTTGTTTTTAATTTTTTATCTCAGATTTGGCGGCACTTAGTTCGAGCTGGTTTTAATGTAAGGTGTGAAAGTTTAGACGAAAGTACAGTCTAATTTTTTAGAAATCAGCAGAAATGTCATCAAATATGGCCAACTGACATAAAAATATTTTTAGTCTGTGAACTAGTGATGCGACAAAACCTCTCGTTAATCGCGAAGTGAAATGTTGTAGTACTTGCGTATCATCGCCGGGTGATCGTGAAAATACTAAAAATATGCAACAAAGTCGCAACATTGAATGTGAACTGATTATGAAATTTTCGAGAACAGGAAACAAACTGTATGCACAGATGTAATCAAAAAGCACACTGGACAGTAAAACAATCATCTGTGAGTAAAACAATCAATGATATCCGTAAAGTTATTAAACTTCTGTTGCTTGCTGTTGCTTGCTGCGTGATTGGTGGATTTTGACATATCTGTCAATGTCATGTCAAAAATAACCAATCATGCAGCATTTGGACCTCACGTCTACGTATTGCCATCTGGCGGATTTTTCAATCGCGAAAACCCTCATTGAAAGAAGTTTTTTATTTTCTTAAAAATAAACAATGGAACAATACGTAAGCATAATTGCATAAAAAAGTAAAATAATTTCGTTTAAATAAAACCGACTAAAAATTAAACTGACTCCGAAAAAGTAAACACTAAAAGTAGAAAAATAAATTTACGTTATCTCCAATATTGTCGAAGTTATCGCTGGAAAACTAAGCAAAGTATCGTATATTTTTTATTTAAAATTAATCAGTAATCGGAATAAGTGAATACTTAAAATAATATCGATTAAATTTACAGATTATTGTCTATGACTCACAGGTTACGGCACTGATGTGTCAGAGACAAGTCATAGACAATATGGAGATAACACATGATTTTAAACGTCAAGTCAATTTGACAATGTCACAAATTTTCATCGTCCACGTATTTTGCTAAAATAATTTGTTTCAAAGATTGATTTCAAACTTGTATAAACGTGAAAATAAAGTTGGTTTCATGGGCTTGTTAAATAGTGTGTATGATATTATGAACACGTAAGTGATTATGGTGTAATTGTGTATGAAAGTGTTTGTTTACATCTCTGCTGGATTCTAAAAAATCAAGGTATAGGTGACCATTAACACACAAAAATAGTTCTAAAATAATTTATTTTCGTTTTCCTTTTATAAAACAATCGCTTATAATATCATAGCTTAGTCATTTATTTTTTACAGTAAACATAATAGCGATCTTTCTACCAAAAAACTGTTATTTACAGTATTTTATACAATAACATTTTTTCACTAACAAAACGAATCTTCCATTTGTGGTAGATGCAAAAATTATCATATTTTGTATTAATTAATGTGAATGTGAATGTAACTTGAATACCTCATCGAATTAAAATATTTTTCACACTGACGCTTACAATTCCAAATGCATACTTTTAGGTAACAATTTAACGTACCTATTAATTAATGTGAATGCGCATTAATTTAATAAGTAGGAAGATTTAAGTTGGTAATATATGTAAATTAAAATTTGTGCTTTATAACCTGTCTTAATTTGAGAAATAATGAAATAAATAGAACGTTTGCTTATTAATCTAGTATGAAATCTTAATTTAAGTAATGTACTAGCTAATCTCTGCAAGTTTTAATACTGGCAACTTTTTTTTCAGTGGAACATTATTGCTTCATTTACGCATGATTTGTTAACATTCTATAATGAATTACATAAACTCTACTGGTTTTTACATTGTACACAAAAATAGTCCTTATCTAATATTAATTAATTCATTTAAATAGGTTTCTATCGTATCGTAAGCATGCTTCACAAGGCACTATTCTAGCGAGATTTAATAAACTCAATACGTGAACAACATAACTACTATTAAATTCGGTTTCAGAGTCCGAAATCGGGCCTAAAATTACATTTTACGGCAGTAACTCAATAACAATCGACTTTTGTAATGAAACTATGTAATCAATAATGAAACTTATGTGAAACTGTGGTCGAACATGACTTCAGTGGTCACCGAATAACAAAACTTATTCTTATAAATGCTATTAAGTCTATGCGTCAACGCTTCATTTCGTACATTATGTATAAGCTTTTATTAGGTACACATACGCTTAGGTCTAAATTGGCGTTCATATTGCTCATTATTTTACCTATAACTCTCTGACGAGACTAGCTTTATAAAATTTATTCAATTTTAAATGAACCTATACATACAATTAGTCCAATTCATCTTGCATTTAAATGTACATATCGAGCTCTTAATTAAAAATAAAATGTCTTCTTATTGAAACACTTATGCCTTCGCACATCAATTTTTAACAAAATGAAACGCTACTTTATTATTTTTGTATTTTACAATGGCATTATTCCAACGGGAACTGATATCACAGCATTTTGTATTGATGGAATCTTACCCTCATAATTTTGAAACAACGTGTTTAGTGAAATATTTACATTACAATCCAAGTGACGAGCGTAAGCCCCATTTTGATTGATTAATCAGTGTTCGGGAAAAGTTTCGTCGGAAAGTTCACGGCTTACAATAATATTACTCAGTCGCTTTCTTCATCAATACTTTAACATTAACTTCGCCGACACGAACCATACGATATTATTCCACACGATCTGCGCGCAAACAAAAGGAACTTGTAACCAAAGTTGAGCAGAAGTCAGTGATCCATCAAGCGCGCCGCCCGGAACGAGCAACAAATCTATTCTAACAGATCATCCCTTCACTACATTATCGTCCCCTTTCAATGCTTCCCTTACTAGTCATTCTCGATGCTACGAATGAGTCAATTTGTAACAACTTTTTACAGAAAATCAACTCTGATCTCGACGAATTTATAGAATGCCTCTTCAGTTTAATGAATAAAATCTCTCAATATAGCTTTTCAGTCTATTTTAAGTCTTAAACTGCCGAGAAACTAGTTGCTTGATTCAGTTATAAATCATAGAAAATCTGTGATCCACGTGGTATAAAAATGAATGACTCATTGATGCATACTCTGTCAGTGTCATCCCAACTAATATTATAAATGCGAAAGTAACTCTGTCTGTCTGTCTGTCTGTTACGCTTTCCCGCTTAAACCTCGCAACCGATTTTGATGAAATTTGGCATAGAGATAGTTTGAGTCCCGGGAAAGAACATAGGATAGTTTTTATCCCGGTTTTTGAAACAGGGACGCGCGCGATAAAGTTTTTCTGTGACAGACAAAATTCCACGCGGGCGAAGCCGCGGGCGGAAAGCTAGTCACCCATAAATGTAGAAGCATTGCATTTTGCCTTCTATAACAATCTACGAAAACGCATTTCCAAGCCTTGTATTTGCTGATTGCAGATAAGTGAGTGGCATAGTCTGGCGATAGGGGCATCTGTCATCCTGGTTGGGGCGCATCGGCTAGTTCACGTCGGCGTAATCGTTCATTAATCACTAGAGGGCCTATCACCGCAGCGACGCGACGATCTCGTTCGCCATGCTGTTTTGCTGGCTCGATGCGTTCAGGTTTTTGGAGCATTGCTGGAAATTGCGAAACTCGTTAGTGACCAATACCTACCGTTTTTGTTGCGTGTCCACATTTGCAAGGGGATAGCTAATAAATCATCTAGTACAATTAATCACGACTCCAGTACACGGTCCGCATTTCGGTCTGGATTTAATAAAACTTACCAACGGCTCGTCAATAAACAAAGAACTCATCAAATATGCAGTTTACGGAACCGTGGTAGTTAATTTAAGCGATAAGGCTCAATTGGTTGCAAATTAAATGGATTTCACATTGACCTTTTGCAAATTGAAATTCCGTAGCTACTTTCGTTTGCTATTTTCATTAATTTAATGCAGTTAAAAGTACCATCATATTAATGGTGCTTTATTAATTGCAAAAATACATAGCATATGAATAAAGGCTTCAACATCAATAATACAAAGCAACGGAAAGGTTGGGCGTGTGTGGAGCTTACCATTTGTCTAGACTCCCAAGCTTTCATCGCGCTTTTGTATTTTTCAAACTCGTGACACCAATCCGAATACACTTGCTTGTACTCTTGTGTTTTGCTGGGCTGTGTACATCTGTGTGGGAAGAAATGTTTAAGCTGAAGTTATATTCGAAAAAACTGACACATTCTGAAAACGTAGTTAAGGCTCTTAATGGATTTCATGACGAAATAGTAGAACCAATAACTCTAAACGTCTAACAACTAACAACTTTTATTTTCCTATGTTGCTACGACGTAGAGCTCGTAGCGTCGTAGCATAGTTATTAGTTACGCTTCTATGTAGACGTTTGACGTTAATTGCTAAATGCAATGGAGTGATTATTATAAAATTATTAAACATAGCATCGTTACAAGTGACCCCTATGGTAACATAACAGGAATTTTGTTTTCATAGGGGTGACTTAAAAATTAGGGATTGATGGTGAAAACGGGCATCAGTCTATGTAGAGAAAGAGCTACTTCTTATTTACCTGTGGACATCGATGTCCAGATTGTAGGAGGCGGTGAGCGTGGGCCCGTAATAGCACTCGTAGCGCCCGCGGTCGGCGTCCGTCACCGACAGAAGCACCAGCCCGCGCTCCGAAGTCTGGAGCACACGCTCCCAGCTGCGAGGTAATAAACTCATAAAACTAATTTATTTTTGCGAATAGGCTTTTAATTAAAAAGCACTTTTATACGTTCCCGTATTAACCCTACCACTGTGTGTGTATAAATGGGCCAGCGCTGAGAAGAAACAGCGCAAAAAACTCAGTCACTATTGTCAGGACTCAAAAAAAGAGGAGGTTCTATGTTCCACCGTACCGTATGTTTCTTTAACTTTCATACAACTAATACTGGTAGATAAATTAATTAGGCCTAATCATTCCAAAACTTCGTCGACTCCCAAAGAGCAACAATACTTCTTCGCCCTCTTAAATATAGTTTTCATTATTTTTACCGATCGTAGGTAGATACAGTCCCAGTCCTGCAAACTACACTAATAATAAGGGGTAGTTATTGGACTGCACGCGATTTACACTCAGTAATTATTGGATTCCAAGAAGATAACATTTGATTCTCATAATTTAGTTTTCAAGTTTTAAAGACCTATATCTACTGTAAAACCTATTTAAAGTTAGACGCATCAAATCATTGAATAACAAATAAACTACGCCTATTACATGTAAACAGTGGTTGATGCGCGTGTGACACGAAACACATTTAGCAGGATTTATAAGTGAGAAGCATTCTACTATTTTTTGATAAAATGCGTCAAGAAATGCGCAATTCAGGTAAATAATGGTTGTGTATTTCATTTCACGTGGCAAACGCGACCCTTCGGGTTTAGGGGAACAATTTATGAGTGATATATTTTCAATTATACGCTTCGTTAAACTTCGTATAAAGTATTTGATCCAGAGCCCTTTAATTTATGAAAATGTAGACATGGCTACTTACTCATTAACCAACGGGAATTAGAAACTGAATATCGAACTGTTACTTTGTATAGGAACCATGTTTGTTTACATATTTTTTTTTTACTTATAATATAAAAGCAACGCATGTATGCTTTTACTAGAATTACCATTATCTCCTAGAGAAATCGCTATACAAAGACTAACAAAGCATTTTAATTAGTATAATTAATACTATTGTCTATACGACCCTAGGTCCTATAATATGACCTAAATAAAATATAGTGTAGAGTAAAGCTCAAAAGTATACCTGTAAAGAATCTCAACAAAAAATAACAATTTACAAAGACAAAATCATTGTACTCACTTAAAATTAATCCTATATCGCCCTTTCTCTCTAGAGTGGTGGTACCAGACCACTACCTGGTCCTTCAAGGCCTCTGGTGTCTTGACGAAGGCAGCCAGGTGGACACTTTGTCCATAACCAGCCCTCACAGTCCGGAGGGGGGCGGAGGCCTCGCAGATAGAAGGCGTGGAGTTGGTGGCGTCGTGGAGGAGGCCTGGCGCGTAGGGCCGGCAAAGGCCTGCCTCTTTGTCCCAACCGCAGTAAGGGTCGAGGACGCAGCGTACACAGCTGTCATACCTATTGAAAATGTAAGGATTTTAATGTAAAGGATGTGTTTGACTGAAAGTGGTAAAAGTGCTGGTGTCTCGCAATATTATTGCCATTTGGACTGAACTTTACACCATTTTTAGCTCTCGTAAACGGTCAACCTGTGTTACGAGAGGAGCCTGAGCTCCTCCTCAAAAACGAGTTAAGAAAGAAATCCAAAATTGACTCGCGCTGATCATAACTTCACGAGAGTCATTCAGACCACTCGCAATTTGTTATGAGCATAGACGTGGCTTGATTGAGCTCGCCAACAGACTAACTTGCAGTGGAGAAATGGTGGCTGAATGAATCTGATGAACACAGGCAGGTGGAAGTCGGTGGCAGGTACAGGGGACGTAATGTGAGTTTACATCAAACGTAAGTTATTATTCGATTCGGTGCGTCAAAAAAATCTATGAGGATTTTAGTTCTTGATGTATCCGCTAGGGACGCTGTACAATCTGTAATACATTTAATGTCATTTTTGACTCACTCGATATCAATTGATGTAAACTCGCACTACGCCTCCAGAGCTTACATACCCGCTGATTACACTCCTTGTAAAGGTCAAATTAGGCTGAAAACTCACCGATGAGCCCAGACGCGCAGAGACAGATGCCGCAAACAGTAATCCGTAGCTAGATACAGCGCGTCGGGACAGCGCAAGCTTCACATGTTCTACTCCCTATACCTATCAGGTTACTGAAAGGATCTCGTGCAAAAGGACAAACTAGACTTACCGATGAGCGCAGACGCGCAAAGGCAACTGCCTCAGGCGGTAGTCGGTCGCAAGATAAAGCGCGTGCGCACGACGAGATAGCGCGAGCGCGCGCACGGGCTCCGAGCCGGCCGCGCGCCACACGTCAGCCACGCGCGACCCGCCGCCCGCCCACTGCACTATTTTGTACACTTCGCCCGCGCCTGGTGGAAACAGACGATTGAAAAACATAACCCTCCTTCTAGCACAGTCGGTTAAAAATAACAAGTCAACACCAATGACAGCTTATAAAAACACACCAGAGTTATGACATAAGTTGTTAAAACACGCACGTTAAAGAAATAAGATGATAGTGGTGGAAATCTTAACGACTGAACAATGTTCGAAACGATGGTTTAGTGTTTATTTTGTAAAAAAGTGAAACGTGCCGCGATATGAAGCGCAAAATGATTCAATTCTCTGGAATATATTGTGTAGACATAGCCTTATGTTCACAATTCCCCTCGCAAACAGATTAAATTAAAGTCTTAATTTTACGTTCAAAACGACAGTTTCCACAAGACCCAATGGCTCTCTAGAGAGCCGGCCACAATTGTTTAAAATAAAATAACTATTTTGTATTCGAAATTAGCAGATTTGAGAGGTTTGTGATTTTGAATTGTTCAATTTAAATTCAAATACCTCGATGTGGTATTAACATAACCCATTTATAGTTAGATTAGTCGACTTTGCAAAAGCAATACAAATTAATTCTGTTGTGAACATTTTGCTGAGAACTGTGTCGAAAGATGGGTACTTACTGGGAGCATTCGTATTGTAATATGGCTATGCGAAATTCGATGTTGACGATTACATTACAGTGGTGCCAGCTCAAAGTACCAACTGACCTAAAAGCATTCGCTTTTGTAACCTACTTACAGCTGCAATGTACAAAATTGTATCATTACAATTCGTGTTCACTGAAATGCTCGTCGGTAGCTGTGACATATCCACTGAAATAACCCTTAACCGCTTGAGTCCCAGACGACATTCATTAATGTCATAACAATTGATTACAACTGTCTACAGCATTTTTGCGCACGGGTTATGCATAGCTTATTTTTATTGCTTTATGACCTAGAAATAAGAATAACAACAAAAAATTGTTCTGAATTTGCTTTTATGTGTAAAAAATAGAAAAATTCATATCAATGAATGTATGAAACATGAACATAGAGATGATTCAATGTGTTGCCAAATATATTTTTTTCTTTCTTTCTTTCATTCTTTCTAATTATTAAAACATACCAAACATCCATTTAAGATTCATTCTCACAAGAGAAAATTTAAAGTAGAGTCCAAATTTTTATTAAAAATGAAAAGTTCTAATTTCCTGTTATGTTCCATAGAAGATTTTTCGCATAAAAATCTAACCCTATCATGCTTTCAGTATACTGGCCTTGGTAACGTCGTCTCTCAAATCTTATTATATTTTGATGAAAGCGTGCCCCTTGTTCTTGCGAATAAGCCTCCATAATTATTTATAAATATATCCCAATGAGAATGGGACGTGCATCTTTAGAGACATTCTACTATGAAGATGGAAAATTCAAATCGCTATAACTTCTTAAAAAGCAAATATATTCGATTTGTAATCGCACTTTTTTGTATAAATTTCCTTATATAGTAATCAGAATATAATAAGTAAAATCCATGCGCAAAAAAAAATTTTTTTTTGTTGACCGGTGTTATCTATTGTGTCTAGATTCGCGAGCCTTGAAGGATTAAATGTGCAGGGATTAAAAGTTCTTAGTTCTTTTTAGTATCACTTACTGGTGCCGGCATAAAACACGGTGTAGGTTATGTCGTCCCCAAGCATGTCGACAAACTGTCGATCTACCACCAGGGTGGTTAACACTAGGTCCCTCTTGTAGAAGGCTGGCGCATCTCCTTCGTGTCTCACGGCGGAGTCCATCAACGGGTGAGACCTGATGACAATAAAGCACTTGAGCAACTTTTACCCTTAAATGAGTGGTGACTGAATTTTTTGCCACCATATTTTGGTCTTTATTGGTATGTAACAAAGCTCTAAACCAATGAAAAATGTATTTTCCCTTTTCTCTATAAGCTGCGTAAAAGGCTAAAGGTGTTTTAATTTGTAATTTCCCACTATCAAATCTTTCGATCATCTTTTGTTGAGCTTCTCGGGTACCACGAAATTATATTGTCATTAACTTAGTAAAAAGGCTTTCACAAGATACTACATGATTAACTAAAAGATAAAAAAATACATTTTAATTGCCTGTCCGAACATCTTTTAACCTTTTAAAGTTTCTGATAACTTTCTTGCGTTTATTTTTCTGAGAAGATGGCCACATATTGTTACGACACAACTATTGTGTTTTGAAATGTGTGTGACCTTTAACAGTACCTAGCTACCTACTACATTAGACTGTCCCTTGCTTAAAAAACTTTTGAAGTCATAGTAAAAGTTTCAAGTGATACCGGTTTATCCACTATATCTGTATTAAAAAGTTAGAATTCGACATTCTGAAGTTTCAAGTAGTGTCTAAATTCGGGATTAGATAAATCTTACCAATTTGCCTAAACTAAGCAGAACCGTGAGAGGCACGATTCAGTAATGGATTTCACCGCATCATCAAGTAGTGCGCAACTACGACCCAATTAGAGGCACGCGTCACAACAAGAAATTACCTGAGGCAAGGTTTCTGCGACAAAATTTTAGGTATCACTGGTAAGTACGAATTACGAAGACAGCCAATCAAGCTGAATAGTATGCCAATTTATGTAACAGTGACAGCACATCAGACAAGTACAAATAAAATGTAATTGTTATAGCCGTCTTATCTGGTGGTCGCGTTTCGTGGAATGCCAAATACCTGCCTTGTTTTGCATAAAAATAAAAAAAAACTACACTATTACTCAATAAAGAATTAGCAGATAAAGCTGATTAAGTAAGCAAAATAATTATGTAAGCCGATATATGGAAGGTCGTTGCAAGGAGCAACGAGTACTTTGAGAAAATTATGGAAAACCAAAAAGGTTGGATGAAACATTTTAATAACTGAGTATAGTACGTGAACTAAGTAGCTGTTAAAAGTTACTATTTTAGTAAAAAAAAACAGCCGTGATACGATTTCACAAGTGACGTATGGAAGGGATTTTTTTTAAAAGATTATTTAGTAACTAGCAGCCGTCCACGACTTCGTACGCCTGGATCCCGTTTTACCCCCTTATGGGTGGAGTTTCGTAAAATCCCGTCTTAGTGAACACCTACGTTCTAAAAGGAACCCGCATGCAAAATTTGAGACACCTAGCACTTGTAGTTTCCGAGATTTCGTGATGAGTGAGTGAGTCAGTGACCTTTCGCTTTCATAGATATAGATTTGTTTTTACACAAATTACTTATAGTCCCGTTATAGCCCCTCTTACTAAGATAAATAATGCTTGGTATCACGAACGAGCGTCAGTCACGTAGTGTTAACCAACTGAAATCAATTCAAACAACATACCTGATGAAGTTGAGCACGTTGTCTGGCAGCGCTTCGGTGTTGTTGACGCACGTGCCGGGCCGCGGCTCGGGCACGCGCGCGCGCAGCACCGGCAGCCATGCGGAACTTGACGTCGCCTGTCAATACATCTATATTATAGGGCACTTGACATACTAAAGCCTGGTCCGTGAGCACGTAGAATCCCGTCCAATGACCCCAAGCTACCCATCCTTATCGCTCGCGCGAAATTATATTGCTGTCGCGACTGTGCGACGCGCGCCCGCGGTGAGTGTGCGAGCGCGACAGCAACATAATTACGTGCGAGCGACAAGGATGGGCAGCTTGGGGTCATTGGACGGGATTCTACGTGCTCACGGACCAGGCTTTAGTCAGTTGACATTTTAAGTATGAGCTGTTAAAAAGCGACTCTACCTTTGATTTTGTGTGGCAAGGAGGATTATGACGTCACCAATTGAGTGAGAGCAAACTTGAGTGACTATTTACTCAATTTTCAGGGTTGCCTTAAAGTGTTTTTAAAGAAATTTGACCTGGAATTATTGGTAAATGACACAAAAAAAGGACAAAATATTGCCACTCTACCAAAGAAATAAAGGACTTTTTCTTATCCTTATACCTAATTAGACTTACTTCATCTTCATATAAGCATAAAACATTAATTAGTAATATACAACACCTAAACATAATTTGCTCGACAAATAATCTTTAAAATGTAGTAACAAATATCTTGCTTTGCATGAAATAGAAACGTAATATTTATAAATGGCAAAATTGCCGGCAAACAAAGCGCTTGTTACTAATTCTCACTAAACTATTACGTTACTCTCAAAAAAGTTACTATTCCCAGCTATTTCATCCATTGCTGTAGAAGCACTAACTCATTGCGTTCTTGAATCCATTACTCCGGTAATGAAGCAATATAATTATTTAATGCACGCCAGCTGACCCAATTTCTTGGAAAATGCACTGAAATTGTTTCACTGAAGAATTCAGACTAGCATCGCAATAAACAATATTACTAATGCTAGAGTAAGAGACGTAATATTTTCATGGCTTTGCCTTATCAAAAACACTAGCTTATTACGGTTACTTGCAGAAATTCGGTAGCCTTGAGATTTGCGACATGCAAATTATTGATAAAAGTGCCCTGAATAATTGTTAAAAAACATTTTGTTCCCGGAATTTACCAGTTTGGTATTTGATTGTAGTATTTCAGGCTTGAATTATATTAGTCTAATTGAAAGAAATAAAAATGAGATTCCGTGCGTCAGAGGACATTAAGCTGTCGAACTGGTTAAATCATGTTAAAACATTCAGGAAAACTACATAAATCAAATGCAATTATTTTCACAGTAACCCAGACATTCTGCTAGAAACGTCTAAGTATGATTCATTAGGGTTGTAGTGACAGACAACCCACAGGATTGAAAATAATAAGACTTGAGCTTGGTATACATATACTGACCTGTTCTTTAAAGCGTCCGCTGAAGGCTTCTTGTATGTCATCCATGGTGTACGTGCATATAGCAGAGCCCACTAGTCCGTCGCTGGCGCCCGTCGTAAATGCCGCATAAAACTTAGTCGGATCCCCCGGCATTTGGTACACGCTCTCTGTACCAAAAATTCAAAAATAAGAACCTTCTAAAAATCAAAAAGTACCTATTTTGTATCTGAAACATGAATGGGCAAAAGTTAGACATTGAAGTAATTATACCGACATTGTTCGCCGACAATGGTTTTATCTTAATTAGCACCCAACTTTTTTATAAGTAATTATGTTCATTAGGATCTCTTTCGTCCGTTGTCTTATGTTTTTTATTCTAAGTAACTTAAAACAGCATTGACTTAATTAGTTGAATAATATCATAAATGTGCTTACGTATTTCGTCGAAATAGAAAGGAAATTCTCCTGGAATGCTGCAGTTAAGTCTGGCTTTAAGATAGGTGGCCCAGTTCTGGCTAAGTATGTGTTTGCCGCCGGTATCGTGCTTGCAGACCCTGGCCACTCTAGAATACACTGCTTTGCCACAGTTCATAAACTCCACTGCCGTTTCTCGAAAGAAGAACAAAACATACTCCCCGACATCAAATGACCCGACAAAGTTGGTTTCTGTAACAAAGAGGACCGTTTTAACGCTGTGAAATTAAAAATATCGTACAAAATTAAAACACTACTGTGTAAAGAAAATACAAGCTTTCTAACTAGAAACTGTTTATAAAGCATGTAGCTGGTTGTTTTAGAATACTTTACTTGCGAACAACTGTGGGTGGCAAAACTAAAAATAACATAATAAAACTCTCCTAATAGTTAGACTAATAGGATTTTTTAAAGCAATGACAAAATCGAGTCACTTTAAAACGTAACATACCTACATCATAACGATTATAGTAGTGATAAATATAATATCAATACAATCGCAGTGGACATGAGTCTATCTATATTGTGTTTCGTTTAAAAATAATAGATTCTAAGTCATGAAGTATTCATAGATAACAAAATAGTTACAACATTGAACTTCTTAAGTTTAATAAAATAAAAATACTTACTATCGAGCCACTTTGAGTCATATTTCAGTGTTCTTTTAAAGTTAAACTTTTTCTGTCCTGTTCTGAAGTCAAACAGGTCATTTCTAAATATGACTGGGTCGGCTTTTGTAAACTCCGCGTTGGTCCCGGCGTAGATGGCTGGTAGTCCTCCAGGGTTGCCTTCTGTGACCCAAACTGCTGTGCTGTTGTCTGCTGGGTCGTATGGACACTTTGCGACGCCTAGGCCCACGCCTGGGATGTATTCGTGGCGTGGCAGATGTGTTAAGTTTAACTGAAACATTATGATCTATGTAAATCCTTGTACTTCTAGCACTTAAATGACTCCCATTTTCTCTTATTCATGTAACAAGCTTTCTGTAGCGTTAATACTCACATAGACCACCCAGTCCTTTGGGCTGTGCGCGTTGGTACCGCAGATGTAGAGCCGCTCGCCGTCTCCAATAGGCTGAAGCACGCGGATGTGATTCCGACATTCAAACGGCTCGGATTTGCCTTTACTCACGCACCGAGCCACGTTACTAGCTTCTAGTAGCAATGCGTCCCTCTACAAACAATAGCGATATAAATAAAAGTAGCTACTAAGTTTAAATTCACGTATTTGCACTCATATGAAGTCATCAAAATTCATTACTTAGACAAGACACAAAGTCTCATTAACTTAAAAACCTCCAACGACCAAAGTGGATGCATCATAACGAAGGCTATTTAGCGTACCTACTCTGTTATGTTAACGGATTACTCAAACATTTTTAATTTCTTATTTTTCTTTCAGCACAAAAGTGAAGTGAAATTTGCAAGTATAAAGTGCAGCGCTTACATAAGAGTTTTGCCTTTCAAAGGTTATGACACTTAGGTGTGGAAATGTAGGAAAGCCTTATGTGTGGGGAGCATTAAAATTGTGTAGTACCGGAAAAGTGGCTTTTCAGAACTTTCGTTCTTAACGACCACGAGAAAACATTTCTTTTCAGCTTAGAAAGATATTTCTCAAGTTCATACGACCACCTTCCCAACTTAGGTCATTTTCGCGGTATTTTGCTAGCTTACAACGTGAACTTACCTCACAATGGGACTGACTAATATCGGTCATGTTCAGTTTGAACACTCGGTCCCTGCAACAAAAGTGTCCATGAGTTGCGCCCAAATAGTTTTCTGTTGAGCAATAGCGTGTGCTGTGAGAAAAAAGTTCTCGACTCGCATTTAAATTGTGGGGAATAAAAGAAGAGTGTACAAGAGTAAGTAGACAATCCGCGGTGGAATGGAACGAACGCCACTTTTTGTGGCGGAGGAGCATATGCGCTGAATGCGACCGTTCTATTTATTTTATTTGCTCAAGTCTCCGCTCAACGAGCCGTATAAATTACGCAGAATAGTCGGCCCATCTACATTATGCCACTTACTTAAATAATTTGTTCCCTACTTTTGTCTAGTTTGTAAATTGCCTTTAATGGAACTCTTAACGAAATTGGAAGAGTAATTAAATATTTGATTTTTTGGAAATTTAATTTCACTAATGAAAGCCTCCAGCGAAGTGGGATTTTCTCAAGGACTACTTAATAAAAATACAAGTGTTTTACTCCAGCTAAAACACTGAGTAAACAAAACGATAGTCATATTTTCAGGGAATACAAAAAAGCATCACTTTCACAATAAGATTTTTAGTCCCTAGCTGCTAAATAATGATTTATACTCACATAGCACCAACATATAATATATTTCTATCTTCGTTCATGTACAGAGTGCGGTAGAAGAGGTTGCCGCAAGAAAACTCTCGTATGTTATCTGGAACAAAAAGAAAGGTAATTGTAAAAAAGGAATCATTTTATGTGTAAAGTTGTTCCGAAGTTCGTACGTAGTAAATTTATAGAGCTATGTAAAGGTACACATAATGTTCAGTAGCAATCAGGAAGCGGTACAGCTAACAGCAGAATTCGTAGAGTATTCTAAACTTTATTTGTTATTCAACATCCATAAAAACATAGTGGTTATTATTTATTATTATTAAATTTTCATATTTAGAATTCTTTTTGAAATTAAAAAAGCGGAACTGCGGCAACGTTTCTCAGACAGCCATTATTTCCTTTTAAAACAAATGCGGCAATTTGGGCTGACTAATTATAACCGGCCGGAGTATAGGCAGCTATTGGCAGGTGGTCCTGCGCAGGCACGCAACTTGACGTGACCGCCGCCGCCCGCCTCATGGCGTTTTACACCAACCGCTACTTAAATATATTAAAACTGGATATATTTTAATGGCTGCTTACTGTATGGTAACTATCCGAAAATACCACTGGCGGTTTACTGCGAACGCCCACCATAACTAGTAAAACAGAGCTTTCTATTCTTATGTTTTAAGTCCTACACTATAAAAATGGCCAGCGTGAAATTACCAATTACAATGCCTAATTGGTCTTTAAATCACCAAAGTGACATTTTATTTTCAACATTACTACGGGTAAAATTTGTCACATGAACATAAAACAGGTCATTTGGCAAATAAATAATTTGGCGTGGCATCCACACTTGACCGGGCGCGTGTGTTTTGCTGCAACGTACGGGGCGGGTGAATACCGCAGCGATTACAGCGCTAATGAACTCATTGTTTGAATATCTAACGAACTGTGTACAACGATTTATACCTAACCGAGAGCGGGGCGCGTCATGCTCCTCTAATTAATAAGTCCCTGATTTATTAATTGCTAAATACCCCGAAGATAGCGTTGCTAAATTGCGCAATAAATTAATTTACACAAAATAGGCAATACGGGTGAATGCGGTTAAAATGTAAATCCAATACATAATAACGAGGTGAAGTATCGCGCGACGCCAGCACTGATGACCGCATTATGTAGATAGCATCGGCTGGTTAAATACCGCAACAAGTAAACTGCTGAACCCGATGTACAGTTTGCGTACGAATAAAGAGCCTATGATTACTGATTATATTATCCAAGCTTAAAATTATAGGCTTACGTATGTTCGTTCTGTATTAACATGGTAATTAACAAGAGCCCATTGAATACAAGTGAGCGTGTAACCTTTTATTTGTGTACTACAAAAGTAGGTTTCTTCTGTGCGGTAATCGATATGGTGACTCTACCTACTCATCAAACGCGAGTAATGCTGCTCTGATCATCTCTATGAATAAAGACCTGAATCTGAATTACATTATATTAAATTACCGAATTTAAAAGTAGGTACTCACTTACGTACTAGCTACGCACTACACACTCCAAATAAAATAAAACTAATGCCTACTACCACTGCACTAAAGACTACAAACAGAATAGAGCTGCGATACCGATTGAGAATGGCATGTCCGGCTCTAAAATTCAAGTGTACGCCTACAATACTCGTACGGCGCTGGATGCACATGGCAGATGTTCTGCATTTGCTCTTTTTGTACACAGCTTTTGGCTTTTCCCAAAATTAAAATTGCCACTCTAAAGGAAACGGTTCGACGATCCTACAAATTGCGACAACGCACTCGGGGCTATTTTAATAGTTGTTTCCTATGAATGTTTTAAGAAACAAATACAAACGTGAAATTATTTTTTAATATTTTACTGAATTTTCACGAAAAGCATCTCGGAATAGGTAAAGATAAAAAGCTTTTTTTTAATATGACGACTTTACTGAATTTTCACGAAAAGCATCTCGGAATAGGTATTTAATTTATGCCATGAACCATGAAAAGCTTTATTCATTATACGAACACACAGGTAAGTAATTTCATTTCATGTGTACAACCTTAATAGATTAATACAAATTTAAAGACAAAAACGAGTTTCCATAAACTTTCAGTTTAGTTGCTTATAGCCATCTTAAACGTGATATGACCCGAAGAAATATATATTTTTCTATTCAATTTGAGTATCGGATTCTAGTTTTCATACAAATGTTATGCACACGTTTCTCTTCCATGTTTCTTGTTGCTGGGACGACCCTGGTAGCTTTCATTTACCGGGTCACAGCGTTGCTAGTTGCAAAATCTTGAAATGGGCTCCTTTGCTATGTATTTTGCTTCGCTTTAGGTTAATGAGCAACTTAGCTAACAAAGGTTTTAAGCTTTTAAAATATTCTTCGATTTAATTAAGACATTTCGTTTTGGTAACGCAACTAAAAAACTAAAATGACGTACCTTATTTTATCTCTCACTGACATTGCATTAAATAATGCGACTTGTACGAGTACCGCATTAATTTTCCCAATTTACTTATTTAATTGAAAAATGTATTTTAGACATTTGTTAATTTTGGCCAACAAAAAACAAATGAAAATGGCGCGAAATAATTGGATACTTTTTAATGTCACCTTTGACAACGCACAAGCACAAGCCATACAAAGTTGAAAAAAAAAGTGTCACCTTTTTAATTAAAACCAAGTATGGGGCAACTAGCCAGCTACAAAATTATTAGCAACGATTTTTTTTTTATTTATACACATTATTAAAAATAGCTCTTTCCCAAGCCAACTTGTTTTGGTCTTTAAAGTCTGTGACTCAAATAGTACAAAAGACGATGGCGCTAACAAAACAATATAAAAAAGATTATAAAAGGGCTGAATATAGCCATGCCTTGTGCATTCCAAAAAGATAATGTATTCTCATACAAACTCGCACTCGGTAAGACAACAGATGTTCCAGTCAAACTTGCTTTCTTTGTTCTTGCGTGAGATAACTAGTTACACATTGGAAATATTCCGTTTGATACTTGTCTAATAATTTAAAAAGTATTTATAATATCAGTACACTGAATGACTCTAGATATATTTATGAGTCACGGTTATTTACATTACCTTTCGTTCTTAAATTCATTAAATTATTTTATATTTCATGACGAGCTTTGTACCACCTTTGTTCATCAAGAAAAATGTAGATTTTAAACTTCTTTGACCATCAAAGAAGTTTTCATATCGTTCCAGTAGTTTCGGAGCAAATTAAATAGGTACAAACTAACAATCAAGTCTTTTATAATATTAGACTAGATCATAAAGGGTCATTCCATAAAAATCTGTATATTTTCGACGTCATTTTGTCCGTAACTTTTTTAAGATGCTTTTGAATACTTTATTAGTGTAAATTATAGTTTATTAATTAATTATGTTATGTCTAAAAGGGCCAGTCACTTTACGCTTTATTTTAGGAGAAATTATAATTTTCAATATTTTCATACTACATTACTCCTATATGACTTCTAATAAAGTATAAAACTTATAACCTTATCATTTATAGATAAGTTAATATACATAATGTAGTTGTTTTGTTATTATCACTTTATAAAAAACATCATTCCCTAACTAGTAATTTAGTCCCAAGTGCCGTTTAAAGCTAGGGCCTGACGCTCTAGGGACTGACGATTTGGAGTAAAACTTAACACAAATGCAGATTAACTTTATATTATAAGATGCTTAATACGATGTGCCGAAAATAGCCAAAAAACCACACGTAAATACTAATTAAATTATATACAATTTCTTATTGTAATCAATAAAGCTACTCAACTAGGGACTGACGAAGGGACTGGATTAACACATTTTTCCGCAACAACTGGCACGTTTGCACTAATTCAAAAAACGGCTACCCCAAAGCCAGTATGGTCTGAGGATAACTTCGTATCGTACTTTAAACTCAACTAAATGTCATTCACTCTAAATACATATTAAAGCGCAAAATTATAAAATCAGTCCGTGGCGAGGGAATGACGCTAAAAGCTGTAGACTCTTTTTCAACTAAAGAAAATCAAATTATTGTTTATTGAATCCGCAAAATATTAATAGAATTTGGTGTAATATACATTTAAATAGATTATTCGTTAATTAAAACAAAGGATAAAGTTGATGTTTTTATAAATGTGGGTCCCAAAACACAAACTTTTGGAGTACGGACATGCCTAGGGAATGACGTTTTGGATCATTCAAAAGGAATTTAAGATGTTTTAAAATCAGTTTCAAAAAATATAAATGGGTGATGAATAAAGCACATTGCGAGCTGTTATTTAACAATTTTGGAATAAAATATTAACAAATATTTCATGTAAAATGTGGCGCGGACTAAGAGTTGACATATTTTTGTGGAATGACCCTAAATGAAATAGGCTGTAGGTAAAACATTGTTCACATTTCTAAAATTAGTTTTAATTTGGAAAGACAAAAATGTTTAATTAACTTCCCGTTTGTTCAATCCTATTATAATCAGCGTTTTCTGGAGATTATCTAGAACTGATGCTCAGCACGTAATATTTGATGAGATCCGCTGTTGGTTAGCGCCCTCCTAAACCAAAATTAAGTAAATCAGACGCCGGAGCCGTTGTTCAAATAATGTCGTATTTACAAAGAGCTCATACGAGTGTCGGCGACTTACAGAGAGAGTCCGTGTGTACTTAAAAAGAACAATTCTCCAGTAAACGCTTTACCGACGTTTGTGCGAGTCCCCTACCAGTGTGAAGCGGAGTTTTAAAAGATTCTGCAGGTTTAAGGTAAGGTGACTCGCACACTGTAAGCAATTAGGAAAGCAATTAGTAGTATTTGTTCAAGGCGCACCTCAGACCACTCACGCGTAAATCGTGCACCAGCTAAGATGTCCAATATTATTTTGAAGATCCTTGTAACGTGTGGAATATCATTTAAACTAATTTAAAGAATTTTTTTTTTATGTATTTAAGAACTTTGAAGGAATGAGGAAATTGCGTGTAGTTAAAATGCTTGGAGGAGTCTCTGGACAGATTTTGATAAAAAGTCATCTGCGTCTGTAGATGTTGATCAGTCAAGTTAGAAGGCTATAA